AAAATACTTGTTTGAAATGACCTTCATTGTATGTTATGAGTAAGAGTGAAGTTATTCATACCTCTAAATGTATTCTCTCTCTCTCTCTCTCTCTTTCTCATGTTATTATATTTGTACAAAACTAGAAAAAAAAAATTTGAATTGTTCATAAAAAAATCAATTTTTGAAAATTAGGCATGTTACAGTCTTGTAATATTATCTGTTTCATTTTTCTGCTTAAAAACAACTTGTGATTCATTCTTGTAGAGAATTGAATGATTAATCCTACTTTGACAGAAAAATAAAATGTGAACAGATAAGAATATGAAATAATAAATATGTCAAACGGTACAAAAATATCGAGAAATAAAAATGTCATTATATAAGTTATTGTTGTTGTTTTAAAGATAAAGAACTCAATATATTTCATTTGTACTATTGATATTCATCAGGGCGTGGGTGATAGAGTTCGATGGTTTTGGTCCTTAAAAATGAGAAAAAAGCGCTTCTGAAAATATCACATGAAACTGAAACCATTAAATCATCAGACAGATGCGAAAATTTTAAGGAATTTTCGAATGGCTGGACTCATTCGCCAGTGGACGAAATTCCGAAATCCTGAATTTTCACTATTAAATTATTGAGATTATAGGCGCTACATATTTCAGTACTTAAACAGAACAATATTGTACATATATACTGAAATCTTTAATCTCAAGAATGAAGATTGCTCAACATAGATTTGAAAATTTTTATGTCTATCTGATGATTTAATGGTTTCGCTTCGATTTAACTCTAGTGAGTGAAAGTATTGGTTTTGATGAAGCGACGCTCAATACTCAATTACTCATATTCTCATCTTCGTTTCAGTTATTCAACGTTATTATTTCGATATATTACACTTCACCAATTTCAAATTTTTCATGAGAATTTTTATGTTTCAACATTAATTGCGAGAATCAATTAAATAATAAATCTTTTTAAAAGAAAAAAGAGATTAAGGCTTGGCCATAATAGCAAGAAAATCCCTACAGAGATGTTTATTCTACCACACCCGTTATAAACAATTATTATATTATTAGAGAAATCTTCTCTTTATTTTCGTATAGCGCGCTTAGGTCAATCAGTGATTGTTTTTTTTTCTCGTATCCTGCTTTCTTTTATTGTACCATTCTTAGAACGTCCCATAATAGACATAGCAATGCTCTTATACAAATAATAACATTAAACTATATACATAGATCCACATTATGTTCTTTTTTTATATGTTCAATATAAGTAAAATTCTTGAGTGGCGTGACAAGAAATCTGCAACTTGCAATCTAAATCTAATTATTTTCATTGTAGCCTAGAGTCAATATCTGAGATAATTTTGTAAGATTTTTTTCTTATACTTTAATCTTATAATTAGAGTACTACGTCAAGAAAAAAAATATATTGACTTATGAAGGAGATGTATCGAATGTTGTTGGGCTAAAAAAAGATATTAATCATATTTGAATGATGGTTCATAATAATGTCGAAAACAAATATAATGAACTAAGATTATTTATATGAAGTATTTTTACTTGAACTTTTCGTTATATACTAAAAGATGAATAGTATTTTAATTATGAATGTATGTATTTAATGATGACTATGTCAATATGTTTGTCTAGTATGAATAGTCGATTTAATATAATGATGATTATAGGGTTCAATATCGATCTTTTAATTTGTTTGACATCAAGTCTTTTATGTTTTCATGCATAATAAATATGTATTTATTTTTGTTCTTAAAATATTAACTTTGTTTTATTGATTTGATATTCAAAAAAAACAAATGTGACCTTTTTCATAATGATTAGAATTTTATTATATAAGAAAAAAAAAGAATATTTCTTTAGTATTTGATAAGAGAAAATAAAAATATACATTGAAAATATTAGTTTATATGACCTTTCTTTTTTTGTGTTTAACCTTGATTTAATTTATTGACTAACAACTTCTTGATTATTTCGTCGTCGCCAACAATCATATCGACTGTTTGATGAATTTGATTAATATCGTCATAATGAGTTGTTGTTTGTTATAATAATTAATTTGTTTGTATGATTTGTTGAATGATATGATTACTATTCATGTGATTCAAATCGGAAAAAAAACCGTCGGTACAACGGCAATCAATCAACAGTAGTTTGATACTTAAACGGTCGAGTATCTTCGCACTACCATTTTACTGCAAAATACCGACGATAATGCGAAGAAACATGCGACACGGGTGTTTAGTGCCCTTTTCCTTACATTTGTTTATATAGAAATTAACAGAAATGTCACTAAACGGGTTTTTTTTTTACCATCGGAATATTCCCAGGACGAATAATCCCGAACTGGAATCTTTGTCAAAAGGTATAGAAGGTTGTCCGATCCGATAGCTAGAAAACGAGGGATACACCACCTAGGATCCGATATAATCATATGGCATTGGCATGTAGACACTAGATATTGTTCGATCTCTTCTCATTTCTTCATGTACAATTGGTTGAAAATTAAAGCTTTAATTTTAGCTTTTTCAAAATTATTATCACATTCACTTGTTGAATAATAAATATAAAATAAAGCAAAAAACTGTTACCACACATGATATAACTGCTGTCGCTAATCAGAGAATAATAGTTCAATTAAATCTAAGTTATTAAAAATAAAACAAAAACTTCAATCAATACTTAAATCGGTCCTATAACACATACTCTCTTGATAGTTACTGTCGCGACATTTACTCATCAGACAGTTGCACAATAACAATGTGTGTATGGATGTGTCTCTTCTCTAAATTCATATCTACACTTTAATTGACTATTAATATAAGAGTGCTTCATATTGTTCTTTTTTCTAACGGCAACTTCTGCTATTCTTGCAGCAGTGAAAGAAACGTATTCTTCTTTAAACGAACAACGATCACTATTTAAAATTTCATGAATAGAATAATTCGAAATTACAGGTCTTTTACTTTCGACCTAGTCTTAAAAGCGTATGAAATATATAAGTACATCATATTCAAACAAATACACTTCAATCTCAAATCTTTTTGAAGGAATAAAGTATTTGATTCGTTATTCACTAGACGAATAATACATATCTCGAAATAAAGAAAAATATGGTCGATCATTCTTCAGTATGTCAACTATGTAATCAACGAAAGGTAAAGATTCACTTCTTGTTGATGATTTTCGATATCGGTGAGTAAATAATAGTCAAGGTAACGTGGCGATAGATATAGATGCCAGTGCATGGGTATCAATGAAGAGAAAACTAACACTCACACCCAGACAAGACATTTTCTAACCAAAAAAAAATGAGGGCAAGAAGGTTCTCTCAGATGTTTTTCATTAAAGATTCGGTTTTTTAAATGCTTTATTTTCTGTGTGATATGAAATCACTTCTGAGCAAAAGAAAAGTCATTTCCAAGAAGCGAAAATTAAATGTCCGCCTGCTATACGATAAATGTGCACAGTGGAAGAGTAGGAGTCTTCTAAATTATCATTTGCTTCATTGATTTAAAGTAGTTTTCTATTATGGATAGATATTCAAATACATCAAAGACTTAAGATCGTCTTTGTAGATCGATGAATGCCATCTATTACCTAGTTTCTGAATTAAATTGTAGTTTTATTAAAACGGTTAGAAGCTTAGTCATCGAAAGACTTCAAATTGCAATTCAATAAATAGAAATCACTTTTAGCATTTCAGATGCATGATAGATTATCAATTACATACGATTAAAATCAATTCAAAATGAATATCACATTCAGTAGCACCTGAAAAATTATACATCTTTCATATATTAATATTTATCCATCTTTACAATGACGAGGCCGTTCATAAATATTAGATGCGAACTCATCACTCAAAATACAAAATTTTGCTCAAGTTTTTGGTTTTCTATCAATATATATGAGATAATCTAAAACGTATTATTATATCTGGACATAAATACTTAAACAATCCGACTTCATGACATCTATAGATCGAGGATTGTACGAACAACACACAAGCACAACAATACTAATATAGTAGTGCATCCTCTTTTTCAATAAGATCAGTTTTGAAACTTTTTCAATAGCTCTCGTATCATTATAACTATTGATACAAATTAGAAACCTTTTCTAGTTGAATATTTTCTCATTCAAAATATTCATAAATAATAGAAATTCGAACAAAATCATCATTATTTTTGAAATGAAAAAAAAAAAACGTTTATTTTTATTAACTTTCTTCATAGAATATATATATATAGATATGTATAGATAAATAAACACACGTTCACCAAGTCGAAGACAAAACCAATGATGATGACCGGAATTTTTTTTCCTAACATACCATCAATTGATTTTTTTTTTTTGTTGTTTGTGACCTTGAACTTTTGTTTTCTTTTCTTTTTTTTTTTTTGTTGTTGTTGTAACAATCCGTCCAATGAAAGAAACACAAACGAACAATATAGCAAAAGAAATAAACGTACAAAGTAGAAAGAAAATCATAAGGGTTAAGAAAAAAAAAAAACAAGAAAGCCAACAGAAAGTCTTTTACAGAAAAAAAAGTGACAAAAAGAACAAAATTCCCTTCTCTTTGTCGAAAACGAAAATGAAAGATGAATTCTTGTGTTTTTTTTTTGTTTCTTCAAAAAATAAAGTTCAATATGATTTACATATTGTTAAAGAAACAACAAAAAACACAATGAAATGTATCTGACTGTAATGCACAGAATAGAGTAAAAACAATGCTTGATGATTTGTTTGCAAAAATGTTGTTGGTTTTTGTCGAGCATTTATATATATATATATACACACACACACACAAAGAAATAAATATGATGATGACGAATAAGTAAAATGGATCATACTAAATACTGAAATAATCTTCATTCTAAGGATGAAAAAAGTTTTTTTTTTGCTAATCTGTTTTTTTTAAATGTAAGTTTTTGTCTAAGATGATTTAAATATCCACCCACCTGATCGTCATCATCATCATCATCATCATCATCATTATTTTTTTTCAAAAATTGCTCGACTTGCTCTGCAATCAATAGAAACACCGGATGATGGCTCATCAATCAATGTAATACCCAATGAACTCAAATGTTTTTGACAAATATCATTCGACTCATAAGCCAACATCTGAGTAATAGTTTCAATTGGAAATGATGGAGCAAACCTTAAGAAAACAAAAATATTCATTTTATTAGAATCTAGTTTTTTGAATATTTTAATAACTATTCACTGAGAAATCTTCTAAATAAGATTATAAGTTAATTAATATGAATAAACGAATTATATCAAAACAAAAATATTAAGGATAGTAAGGTTTTATTCCAATTAAAATACAAGTCCTAATTATGTTTTCTATTGTGTCATATTTATTATCATAATTTTTAATTGAAAAGATTTTTCAATAAAACCAAAGAAATGATGTACTGATGTCTGCTATTTGAGCTTATATACTGAATGTACAAGAACATCTTGGGGAGATTAGCAAAAGTCTAAAAAGATTCGTTCCTATGGATTTTTGGAGTTGATTATGATCATTTTCGACTTATTTATAGATATTTACTGAAAAATCAAGTAACGAAATTTCGTCTATAAAATAGATCTAATGACTAAAAGTTTCAGTGAAAGAGAAAATTCAAGTGAAGTTGATTTTGATAACAAAGGGCTATTTTGTGGGAACTAAATATCTTGCCGAAGGAACATCCTTTTCAATTGAAACTTTCAGGATATTGAAAGAGTTACTACACCTATCTATAGGCAAAATTTTGAATTAAAATTCCGTTATTCGTTCTTCCGGTTAGTGATAAAAAATCCAATAAACTGACAATGATCCATGGGGAACGAATCTTTTTAGGCTTTTCCTACTCTCAGTGAGGTCTGCCTCTAGATGTAATATGAGTACAAATGGTAGATGTCAATCTGACAATCGCTCTGAATTTTGCTACAAACATTTTCAGATAATCTTAACGATAATCATATATATACTAATCAAAACATAATTAGCTGTATATATACGAAAAAGTAAACATCTTTTTGTTTTTATTAATAATAACTTACCCCCAAACTAAAACCTTGAGCATTTGTTTCCGATAAATATCAATGAAGAGATTAACTAAACAACAAGCAAGTTGGGGTAGGGACCTATAGATAATGAAGAAATGTATGTAATTTTTTCGGCGAATGGCCGTGCACAGTTCTAGTGCAAGATCAATATGTTCAATATCTTTTGATTTGCTCTTCCCGTTTGCTGCTGCTGCTATTTTTTTTACTGTATCAATATTAATTAAAATTCGATTTGTTTCTAAATACAAAAAAAAAAATTAATTTAAATGAAATATTTATTTTCAATCTTACTTTTATAATCATTGAGCAGCAACGAGTAGAGCAAACGATAAATAAGAAATTCATTTAAATGTGTACGATTACAACCATTATCATACAATGTTTCTAATTGTGTTTGACATTGATTGAACTGTTCACGATCACCCTTAAGAAACAAAAAAAAAAAAAAAAAAGAAATTTATATATATGATATCCTTCATTTCAAAAATCATCGATAGCATTTTGTACAGAAACGCATAGTATAGAGTAACATAACTCAATATATCTCTAAATCAATCTATATAAAATTTTATTTTATCTAATCTTCAAACATGTATACCTAATAATTCTCACAATAGCATTCTTCATACCCTAAACCTTAGTATGTTTCCTAGCTTGTGGAAATTCTGCAATGTTGCTCCTTAGAGAACAACTTCCTCATAAATTATGTGCCTAAATATATGAATCGATTGTTCTCTGAATTGTAGGCTATTCAGAACCTAAACTCTTAAGGAACAAAATAAATTAAAAACTAATCTTTGTAATAGTTCATTCTTATACTCTCCTCCACAAATCTGCTAGCGGAAAGAAAATTTTTTCGAATTTTCAAAAGATTCATTTATGTCAAATGATCAGATATCATGAGGTTATTGTTAATAGACAGAAATTTTTCCATATGAAAAATATTTTTGGAGAACTGATATGCTTTTTCTTTCTATAGGAATTGAATAAGCCGATTTGACTATGACGCACAAGAATTTATGAGAAAATTCTACAGTTGATGACCTTGACCAAAAAACCTATTGTCAGAATTATTAGACAAAACAAAATTTTATATAGATTGGTTTAGGGATATATGGAGTCATGCTGCACTACAACTTGTTCTACAATATAGTATAGATAATCTCTTAAATGAAGAATATTTATCTTTTCCGACAGCTCTTTTGAATTTTTTCTATAGAAAAATCTATTTACCATTTCAAGAGCTATACGTGCATTTTCTTCATAAACTAAGACTGTAAAATCATTACGTATTGATTGTACCATAAGATCTTGTCGAATACTTTTCAATTGATCATTTATATATGACCAATCTTTATTTAATCTATACTTATCCATAACAAAAGAAAAAGCACGTTCAAGAACTGATAATGGACGAATAGTTGATGGATCAGCTTCCTGAAATATAAAATAAACAAACAATACAAATATTATATTTTATTATTTAATAAATAACATACACTTGTTAAACGTAAATAATTTTTTTCCAATTTTTGACATGTGCCTACCAAAGTCTTGTTATTATCACTTACTATTATTGATGGACTAGGTGCTTGAATCTAACAAAAATAAATAAATAAATAAATAATTCTACTAAATCAAAAAAAAAACCTACTGGTTTGATAATTGTTGATGTTGTTTCATTAATAAAACGATTTCGTCGTTTTTCTAAACGTTCACATTGTTCTGGTCTAGATCTATGAAAAAGAGAAAATAATCTTAAATTTTTTTTTTTTTTTTCTAAATATAATTTACTCTTCTAATTGCATTTTTTTATTAGCTCGTTTTGCTCGTCGAGTTTTTCTCGAACGTTTACGACCAGTACTCATCGGATATTGTGGACTTGGTATATTTCTAATATAATAAAAAAATAAAATAAAATAGATTTCTTTTTTTTTTTTTCTTGCTTTACTTTGCTCGATTATTTGTATCATTATCAGTTGATGAAGATGATGATGACGATGATGATGATGATGATGATAAACGTTTACGTGTTAATATACTTTCATTATTATTATCATCATCGTCATCATCATTATTATTTCCAAAAGCACGTTGAACAGATTCAGATGCTATTTGACGAAGTTTATTTAAACGAAATAAATCTTCACGTTGTTTATTTTCAGCATAAGATGATTTAGCTATTTGAAGTAAACTTGAATTTGATGAATCAAAAATATTTGAACGTACATTTGATGATGAATCAGAACGAAGAAATCTAAATATATGAATTCAAAGATAGTTATTTCTTTTCTACGAACAATCAAAGAAGTACATATAGATCTTCTCATCTCAGCGTTCTGTAATATTACAAAACGCAAGTATTCAGAGAGTATCTATCGAGGATACAATAGTCATATTATTGAAATACTACACTCCTTTGATTCTATATATGGGTATGAAATTTCTATTGATCAAAATAGATTGAATATAGATGAAGCTATATTTATAATATACATTCAAATTCAACTTAATAAATCGTTTTTGAGTCAGGATTACGTGTATTATATAGACCGTAATGAACTATGAATACATAGGCTTTAACGAAAGTAGTTTATTGTGAAAGTTTTAGATCTTTTAATTGTTAAGGCTTGTCTCTACACAATAGTTTAAATTGAAATGCGAAAAAAAATTTTGCTGAAAGAGCCACGACATTGATTTAAAAGCTCAAATATTTTTCATGATATTCATAGCTCATGAGGGTCGACATGATGCACTCAAAAATCGATTAATCAGTTAGAAGAACTACCTTGCCAAGTGTTAAATTGTTTTTTGACATAAGTATCAACTCATTAGATAGATCCTATGGAGACTAAATGAAGCTTAAAAAGATTCCTTACTCAGGAAGAGGTCTATTCATCCAATCAATAGTTGTAACAATATTCTTTTGAAATGCATCAACAAGAACACCTTGTAACCATTCATCAGCTTGTGAACGTAAAAGATTTGTTGTACAACGACTTTCAATTGATTGCCAATATTTCCTATAGCAAAAAATAAAAAAAATTATGATTATTATTATTTTCTTCAATAAAAATTACTTTAATGAATCTGGCCAATTTTGTTTATCACAAGCTAATTTAAATGCTTCAATAGCACTCATTATTGGACGTAATTCATTTGAATTTGTTGTATCCATTATTGTATCATCAGTACGATTGTCCGGTGGTGTTGGCATTGGTGTTGGATATGAAACTGTTGATGTTATTTGTTGTTTAGGTGGTGAAGAAAAACGTGTTCGTCTTCCATTTCTATTCATTGGTGTTTGTGGACGTGTATTCAATTGAAATCGTATACCAGATTGTTGTGGTTTTGATTGAGAAAGATTCGTTGGTGGTGGAACATTATTATACGATGAAAATTGTTGATTATTATTATTTGCTGGATATCGAGCACGATATGATTGTTGTGCTTGTCTTGGTCGAAATGTTGGCGATGAATCTAAACAAAACAAATAGTAGAATATTATAATGAATAATAGTGATTTTTACTTGTTGATTGCCATTTCGATGGTGTTGTATTCATTCTATTATTTTGTTGTTGAGAATTAAAACCATTGGATATATTATTATTATTATTGTTGTTATTAACTGGTGGTACAGGACTTGGAGATGGTGGAGTTGGTTTTTGTTGATTTGTAAATGATTGATATAGTTGATTTTGATAAGCAGCAGCTTGTTGTGCTTGTTGAAAAAATGTCCATTGTAATGCCCAAGTTTGATAAACATCAAGAGGAGATGGTACTGATGGTGGTGGAACACTTGTATCAACTTTTGGTAATGTTGGTATTGGAGGAGGTGGAAGAGATAAGTCACCATTCTAAATTTGAAGAAAAAGAAAAAAATTTTTTTTTTTGCTTTTCAATAAAAATACTTACAGAAATTGATGTCGACGGAGGAGCTGGTGGTGGTTGTAGAGAATCATTTGGTGGAAGTGGTGGTGGTGGTGGCACAGTCATTGTACTCATTAAAGGTACTGGAGGTTGATTATTACCATTAACATTGAAATAACCTGGAAAGAATCCAGAATTAGATGCCGCGGTTGTTGTTTGCGACATTGATTAAAGAAAAAAAAAATTGTATAATTTGTCTAACAGAGAAAACAATATATATATATATATATCGATTTCAGACGATTGTAATGAAAAAATTCGTCAGTTTATATGTATGTATATATATATATAACTGAATCAAAGTGTAATTACAAACGAAAAAGGCTTAAGAAAGTTATGAATGGCGGGGATTTGTCAATAGATGTCAGATGTTTAAAGAAATATTTGATTAGTTTAATATTATTTCCAATAAAAGATAAGTTAGTTAATTTATTTTTTTCAGTTCTGAAAATAGGAATGACAAAAAAAAAAAGAAGTTTTACGATAGTAATTGATCAACCGACTGAATTACTATGTAATGTATAACTGAGACATATTGTTTCTTTTTTTTTCGAAAAAAGAAAAATAAATCAAGGTTAATTCTGGCCTGTTTCTTTTTTTTTCTTCTTTCTGTAAATTAATCTTCTATTAGGTTTCATCAATGGGCACAAATAAAAAAAAAAATATTCGTTGGAGTGTACTATAAATTTTAGTTTAAAAGAAAACAGGTGAACATGTGTTTTGTTTGACTGTTCAATATCGGCGCAGATGTTTGGAAAAAAAAACATCATGGCAATTAGCTATTCTTATGTAAATTTCTTTTTTTTTTGGCTCTTTGCGTGCTATCTGCACTGATGACTCTTTCTCTTACAATCTTTTTTTTCTTTCCTTTTTAGTCGCATAAAGAACATAGTTAAGATGAAAACGCACTTTTTTTTCTTCCGTCTCTGTGTATGCTATTGTTGCAGAAAAATATCGAGAAGAACGAGCAGCGTCGTCATCGACGACGATAAACGCAAGTTTATAATAGAAATTACATTTTTTTTATATGTCTATGTCTATATGAATAAGTTCGTTTCGGTGTAATGTTCGGTTCGATTTTTTTTCATGATAATAAAAATGATTTAACTTTTCTTTTTTGTTTCGTTCTCTCGTTTTTTTTCTTGTCTTTAAAATCAAATATGTAATAACAAAAAGCAATGATGGCAGATTGAAACAATAGTACGAATAAATGTCAAGGTTTTCTTATTTTCTTTTTCTTTGTTTTGTTCTATTCATTATTTGAGATATCTAATTATGTAAAATATTTATTAATTATAGTTAACATGATTTTCTTTTATATTCAATTTCTTACCATAGTTTTTTGCTTCCGCATGGTATCATCACTTGATGAATTTATTTTTTTGCTAACAATTACAAATTAAATATAAAGTATTCATCGGTTGATTGCTTTCCTATTTACCGGTCTTTTTTGTTTGTTCCTAAAGAATTAGGAAAAGAAGAAAAAAAACAAAAGATCATTTTCAAGATAAAAATTAAAAAAAAATTCGATATACTTTTTTAAGATGAACATCGTAATCATCACTAAATTAACAGATGTATGGATTCATATTGTTATTATGTTCTTTTCTTTTTTTTTTCTTTTTGTTTTATTTCTTCTTCTTTGTTTTATCAAGTATTTTTCTTGTAGATTTATTTATATTGATCAAGTAGTTTATTTAATACTTGACAACAATACACGCGACATACTGCTCATTTATATTCTATCAAATTGTGTTCGTCTACATATTATTTATCTTTCAATACAAGGTCGCGCGACACATTATTAGCTTTATTTCAAAGTCAATCATTACCTTTTTATCATCGTTTTTGATTTTTTTTTGTTTTGTTGTCGAAGACCGTGCATAAAAAAAAATACGTATGAAATGTAATTGCCATAAAATTATATAATATTAAGACAAATATAAACGCACGTTTTTTTTTTTGTGTATGTTATTATTGATTTTACCTAACAATTAGTGATGCTTGCCTTTGCCAGAAGAATGAATCATCATCCTCATCTAACAAAAGCAAGTCCAACGACGACAACAACAACAACAAACACAGCAGGATCATCTGATGAACATACATCATCAGTTGTCAATGCAGAAAAAATGTTTGTTATAAATGGTAGTCTATCTCAAGAACCAACAACACCATGTGTCCTTAATACACCGAATACTTGTACAAAAAATTCCACATTTTTTTATGAAATTCCAGCTTCTATGCATACAACAACATTATCAGGTAAGATAAATAAATACGTTATTTTTTTTCTTTATTTTGATATAATTTATAAAGTTAAAAACAATATAG